CTTGTTTTGCAGCGAACTGTAATAGTTTCAATATTCGAGATTTTGCGGAGAAAGGGGAGAACCCCCAACCTTCCGTACTGTATAATGTATTGGCCAAAAAAAAATGAAATTATTTTGACTATTTGATTACTTTCCCTTTATTTAAGCCCATTCCGAATATTATTCCTTAGAAAAGCTAATCTGTGTTAAAACACAACGCTTATCCATTTTTGGAAGTTTATCTATACTTCAGCAGTTACTGCAACTATGTTATTATAAACATTCATACATATACTCATAATATAAGCATAACGATCATAATAAACACAAATATGAACTGACCAAGCGGAACGAAAATCCAAACTATTAAGATCTTGATAGAAATTCAAACGTGTGTAGTATTTGGGTGGGGGGGAAAAGAATGCCGAATGTACCAGAATTTTCTGCTGCTTTCGCAATTCTTTGACCAACGACGGGCACCTGTCTGTACTCTCTGCGCACACCAAAGGTTATGTTAATGCAGAGAAAGGGGGAAAAAGCTATTTCCGGGAGTATGATTCACCATCTGACATTCCATATTAGGAAGAAAAGTTGTTTATTTAGTTTCGGCTTTGGTACGGGGAAAAATTGCGCGTTCATTTAAAAAAAAGCACTAAAAGCAAAAAAAAAAATAAGGACTTTAAAGAAAAAGTAAGCACCTATAAGGGCCTTTATATTTTATTTTCAAATATAAGGACTTATAAGCACTTATGAGGACCGCTACAAACCCTGGTAATCAATTTCGTCCTTAGCTTTACTCATCATGTTATAATTCCTGGATTTAACTAAAGGCCTCTTATTCTTTAAAAAAAAAAAAAGTGCTTATCTAGAATGTATAGAAGAAACTGATACCTTTACTTTTATTCCTTTACTAATACATGCATTGAGAATGTATATGAAATGACATGCTCACAACCTGTGCCCAATTTTTTTTTAGAATTTAGTGAAGCAGCAACAAAATCTTACATGGTAAAATTTTTACAATTTAGAATAGTCACTGCCAAATCGCCAATCACAAACCACTAGTAGCTTGCAGGGACATTTTCTGTAGATTGCTTTAATGTTCCGGTTGGCTAATATTGATGCCTCCACTGAGCTGATGCTGAAGACAACAACTGCTTGTTTAGCCCATGCAACTGCCACTGTCAGCCTCATGTCATAGTTAACAGTATACGTGTGAGGCTGTACATGTTATATTTTTTGTGTGTATACCAGAAATTTGCTAAGTTAGATAGTTTGATGCACACATTGGTAATAAGCTAAGTCTGTTCTAATGATGGTGTGTTTAAGCAAAAAGCAAAAAACTTATCACTTTCATTCAGAATGGGTATAACCGATTATTTCTCTACCCACGGTACAGGACAAATATGTGTGTTTACTGTGCTATGGAAGTGTATCAGTCGGAAAGAAAAGGGAACTTTACTCAAAACCGTTCAAGCAGGGTTTTAAAAGGATTTCTCACTGAATTTTGCTCTAAGGAAAGAAAAGGTAAGACAGCTAAAATCTAAATGCTCAACTACCAACTTCTAAACAATCTAAAACCATTAAAAAAGAATAAAGGAGCAACTTATTCCAAATATTACTGCACAGAATAAGAAACCATACGAAGACAGTGAAATAATCAAAACTGCATTTTTAAAGCTGCAGATGCATTATTTGGTAGTTTCAAGAATAAAACTTAGATAATGCTTGCTATTAAATCTGTACAGCTTTCTGCAAATACAGTAAGTAATGAGAAGGGACGAGTTCTGACGTTACCTCACAAAGTAAAATTAATTTTGATTTCTGCAGCTATTTTTCTCTGCAACTTGACAAATTGATTGGTATAGTTGATACAGTTCACAGTTGGGCATTTTTGCAAAAATGGATTTTGACAATTTCGAAATACGAGAGGAGCTGGTACAGATTATACCATTAACAGGATGTACTACAGAACATATTTTTAGCAGATACAGATATTATCAACTCTGAAAGTATTCCTTTAAATAAGTTTGTGGGCTTAGCAACTGATGGAGCTCCTGCGATGGTAGGCAGAGAGAAGGGATTCAAGGGATTCATAAACTTCTGTAGTAAAGACAACAGCTTTCCAATATTTCTACATTACCATTGTATAAGACAATAACAATAGTGACCATGGAGTCACTGTGGGGAAAGTTTTTTAAGTACGAACAATGTAATGAAAAAAGTCATAAATACAGTGAACAAAGTTTTGCAATTCAGAGATATTTGATCAGAGCACTGACTGATGAACCAGATTGCCAGTATGGTGATCTACTGCTTCATAGTTCATTAGTTGAATAAAGGCATGTTTTCAAGAGTTGCTCCATGCCTTAAAAGAATTTTTGAAAGAACAGGGCGAATTCTTCCAGGAACTAGAAGATCCGGTTTGGCTGCATGATTCGCAGACATTACTGAAAAGTTAAAATATCCTTAACTTCCAGCTTCAAGGTAAGGAAAAAGATACTGGCAGAAGAATTTCAGATGTTGCCTTGTTCTCAGAAAAGCTGGAATTGTGGGAAAAAATATATTATCCATGGTGAATACAAACATGTTGCCTATTTGAAACAAACACAAGACCCTTGCAAACCCTTGACAAGCAAGCATCAAATAAAGCGTTAACTGAATATAAATAAATTTTTGTCAATGATCCCCCCCCAAAAAGGGAACATTTTTAAAACAAATACTTTGGTCAAATAAAATTCATAAATTAACAAGTGTTCATTCTTTGATTCTTACATATGTGCCGAATATATTTCATTAATATACATTCAAAGACTAGTTTCAATGAAGTTCTGCATATAACACAACCAAAATTGGGACTTAAAAATTAATATTAAAATTTCATGACTTCATTTAAGTATAAATCTCCGAAATATTTCAACATTTAAGGCCTCATATACAAACACTTATGTAGCAAATGGTTACCTCAAGTTACAATTTTATAATGAAAAATAATTTAAATCTTCTGCTTTGTTGTCTTGATAAACCAATACTCACAGCATTGCATACCTTTTTAATGCAGATATAGGCAAGGAGGAATTTTCAATTATTTAATTGTGAACACAATTCAGTTACTTAATTATCGAATGTTCTCCACATTAAATGCATTATATTTATACACATTATAAGATGACATACTAATGAATTTTGTCAAAATAGAGTTGAAGACAACTATTAACTTTCTCACCACAATTTTTTTTTTTTTTTTTTTTTTTTTAATTTTTTTAACAAAGTATTTTGTTTAAGTTATATAAATATTTTTCATTTAAAGTGTAATATATTTATTATCTTTTATTTAATTTTTAATTACTTAGTAGTTATTATTTTAGCTGTGCATTTTCACTCATCATCCCTGATCAATCTTCCAAAAAACTCAAACCACTTTTCAAATTTCCCGCTGAATGCAAGGAAAAACATAAATTTACAGAATAAAAGAATGCACAAACTTTAATTCAAAAGTATTCGTTATAGTTGACATTGTCTTGTCTTCTGACCTTCTTTGAAATGGTGTTGCCAATGAGAATCTAATATATATTATTCAAAGGCAAAAATGAATCAAACAGCAAAGAATAAACCCATTCCAGAAAGAATCTCTTCTTCATGAACACGAGTGTTTCTTGATAAAAGGAAAAACTGGTAGAAAAAAATTATGTGATTATTCAGATTTCTTCTAGATTCTATGGTTCTATGGTTTAATTCTATGGTTCAACTACATTACGGAGCATAGCAAAGAGTTAAGTGTTCAGGAAAGCAGATAATCCAGTCTTATACAAACAGAAAAAATATTGTAAACACAATATGTTATTAAATGGGTTAAAATATTAAATACTGAACCTCAGTACCACATGTAAATGTCTGGCAGAGGTTTCTAAAATAAAAAGAAAAGAAGAAAGAAATTGCAACAGTGCTCAAACTGGATGTTAATATACAATAAAACTTAACTAGGCACATTCCAACCAAGACCTTGGTTCACACTAAAAAAAAATCTTTTGACAGCAAATATAAAAAGTGAAAATATTAAAATTTAATTTAATAAAAGGCCAAACATGAAACGAATGAGTAAAGTGAAACCATGTATTAATTATGGAAATTGCACACTATTATTTATTCAGATTTAAAAAAAATAAAATAAAAAAAAAAACATTAAGTATTAAATCAACTCAGAAGTTGCATTTCATCCTTTCTTACCAGATCACTGGACAGCAACAAAATACTCATGTTACTTTACTTTTGTTTTATTTTAAGATTTCATGCAAAAACGAATACAAATTAAACATAAAATAGAGAACATCAAGTTCAAAAAAGTCCAAAATATTTCATGGGATACAAATTTCAAATACTCCTTCCTGTCACTAAGTATGCAGCATAATAATAATGCAGCATAATTTTTTAGGTATCAACTTATGTTTACATTACAGCAACACAACAATAAGCAAATACAATAATTTTAAATGGTAACAAATCGGTTAAATATAAGCACATCAACAAATATTTAACAAAAATTAATTTGAATTAAAAAGCATAGAATCAGAAAAGGGTGAAAAGAGCTGCAGCATACATATCATCACATATACATACCAGTTAGGAAAGAAACCACCTTTAAAAATTTGCATTAACCAATTAAGCATTTACATTTGACACAACATTAACAAAAATATATGCATTACAGTGTAATAAAAACTGAAGCATACAAGGATAAATAAGAATAAAAGGGAAAAATTATTATTTAACATATATTTATAAGTGTTTTCAGTCATTCTTATAAATGTTTTCTTACAAATTCCTTCAAAGGAGCTACGTGTTCTTATTTTAGACTTTGATTCTAATTTTTCAAGCAAAATCATTAAGCTAAATTATTTTGTTTTCGGTTCAATTTATATTATATTTGAAACTTTTCCCATGCATATAAAAAAAAATCTGAAAACCTTGAAATAACATGCACCATCAGCCAAGCAAAGCAACAGATATTACATATAACTTACTTAATGAGGAACCACTAGCAGGGCTAAATGTTTCTGGCATATCACCCTGAGATGACTGAGTACGCGAATATATATTTTCTTGTACAGAAGACGCATCTTTATCAAAATGTCTCTCAGCACTCTTTGGAAACTCTTCCTGACTATAACCGCTGGATATTTCCAAATAAGATCTTGAAATATCATGAACAGCTGAGGGTATTTCTTTCGAAAAAAGGTGGACACTTGTCATAGGATTGACATGCATTGGTCTATCAGGTTTCGACTTTTCTATGCTGCCTTTAGTAAACGAACTTACATCCATTCCAGAACTTCTCATGCAAAAGTTAGAGCTCTCATCATCAGATTTTATAAAAGAACATGGTTTCGAAAAACTAGCCGACAGAAATGAGCTTGATTCTGGCAAAACATCTTCCATTTTAATATCTGAACTGCGATCATCTGCAGATCTTGCCAAGTCAGTAAATGTAACAACAGGTTCTTGAAGGAATGCAATATTATCTGCAAACGATGATAAGATTTGATACATTTAAAACCAGATCAAAAAAATACAATCGATTCCAAACTATGACATCAGACAGTATACCAGATTTGAATTAAAAAGACATCAAAGCCAACTTTTAGTGAGATCAGAAGCACCTCAGTAAAAGTTTACATAATGTCATAGGAGAGTAAATCTATGGCATAAAAAAACTTTCATACCGCACAGATAAAAAAAATCAATCTGCTACATTAAAGTAAAATTACTATTACATATTAGACTTAATATGTAATAATGCAGATAAAATAACTTTTACTGATGTTGTAGATCAACATACTTAGGAGATAATCAAAAACTTGTACAACTTACACAACAATACCAAGTAAAAAATATACAAAATGATATGGAATTCCATTTTAGAAGCAATTTAAGAATTAAGAGAACAAATAAATACACCTTTCAACATACTCCTGCTTAGCTTTCCACATAAAACATACTAAATGATACAGTTAACAGCGACTTGAGCATATTTTAATATTCTACAATACAACAACATAACTTACAAAGAAAAAGTTTCAACATTACTGAATATTATTTTATTCGTGTTTTATATAAACAGCTACATAATACTAACTACAGAGTAATACTGGCAAAATGGAAACCAACATTACATTCCAAAGCAAACACTATACTGAAAATACAACTCTTCTTACATTTTAGAAAAAGTTACATGTAGGAAGACATAGATGTTATTTTACAAAAAGAGTTATTTTGTCCTGAAGTAATTTCAAGAAAGAGAATCAAAATTTATCATTCTTCTTCTGAATTTCCTTAAGACTAACAATACCATTAGATTTACCATTAGCAGTGGTCCAAAGCCAAAGAAGACGCAAGGAAAAGTTAATGCTATCTTGTTAGAACGTAGACTGTTACTTTGCCGCTGGTATGTACTACAAAGAGTATTGACCAAAAGTTAAAATAATGCCAAAGGCCTCTTTTGCAAATGTAACAAAAATAGGCGCTAAATTTACGCAGGCTCCCCCATAGGTGAAAAAGTCAAAAATGAGTAACTCATGTGACTAAAATGATGGAAAGATTAAAATAGTTCATGCAAGTGCAGAAAGACAAAATTCTCAAAATGTGGGGATAAAATCCGCAAACTTTTAAGCTTCTTGTCTCTGTCACTGCTTCATACCACTAAGCAAAAGAGCACTTCCCTCATTGCTGTCGAAAAGGAGAAGTCTTTCATCACATGATAGAAGATACTTGTTACTCATTTGTTTTCAAACACATCAGTTTAATACAGTGGTTCTTATACTTTTTCACTTCATGCACCTCTCTTACCATTGCTAAAAGATCATAACCCCCTTACAAAGCTTATATATATATATATATATACATACATGTGATGATTTATTTTGCTGTATATAACTTGATATTAGATGAGAGCTTGATTAGGAAAGATGACAATTCACTTTTTAATCATGGCCAAAAAAACTGCTGTGTAGGTGACTGAAAATTGCACTGTAGTGGTCGAATGGAATTTTAGAAGAAGCACAACCAGGTTGGTAGTTAAATATTTATTTTTGGATGATGAATTTTTTAGCACATATCTTCTAAACTGGTAGAAAGAACATATTTTATGCTGAAATTAAATTCACTCACTGTTAGAATATCAAAGAAAAGAAAGGAAAGGTCTAGATCAATTTTAAACACAAACTGGATGGCTCGAATAATCGAATTCATAATAAATAAATCTTGTTTAAATATTTTTTATTGCCGTCAAAAAGCATCACTATGTCATTTACACAGAAAATTTAAACCTGAAAAGATAGTTTTCGCAGTAATTTGACCACAAAATAGTGCAGGTGAATGAAGTTCATTAGCTATGGGTACTCTCAGTCCAGTACTTGCTGACATTTTTAAAACCAACTAATAATGACACTATTTTGAAGCCAAATTATTTGAAAAACTACTTTTTTTAAAGTCTGATTCGATATGTAGATGACATGTTCATATATTTTTTATGGTAATCAAGATGATTTAACTTTTTTTTTTTTTAATTCTGTTGTGAATTTGATTGATCCAGCCACCCAATTCACCTTGAAATTGAATCTGATGGTTCTCTTCCTTTCTTTGACATTCTAATTATCCACAGCAAATCTGACTTTCAGCACTGCTGTTTACTGTAAACCTTTTTCTGTTTGCTTCCCCATGCTAAATCATGTTATGCAGCTTAACAAGAGATGGCTTCTTTTTTATCTTCTGTATATTGCATTCTCAATGACTGTGTTCTTCAGAATCTTTGCTTTTAAATGAATTGGATTATTTCAAATTCATTCACACTAACAGAAGATTTTCTGCCATGATAAAGCCTTCAAAAAACGTTTCATCATGCCATCAAAGACATTTTGCAGTTACAAATAACATTAACATTGTCCCCATTCCATTCCATCCTTCTATTAATTATATAGTTGCATAAATTCTTAAAAAATGAGTTTCAAATCGTTTTGAAATTTATATAATATTTTGTCACTATGGTTTGGAATATATTAATCAGATTAAAAAAGAATTAAAATATCATGTTATGGAACACAAATCTTATGTCCAATAAGCAGAAATGAACAAATCTTTGATAAACAACTATAGTTGCAAACTTAATCATAATTTTTTACTTTGGCTCAGCAAAAATTACTTATAAAGCTCTTTCAGTTGATGAATTGAATTTTCTTGAAGCTTTTCATATTTACACAAATTTACCTTATTTAGTTAATTACATAAATTCCAATTCAATCCTTCTTACACTTTTCGAATTTTAATTAATAGTTTTTAACATTTCATTGGGATTTTCCTCCATAGATAGCAATGCATTTGTGTTTGCTTTGCTCCACCCATTGCTTTTGATATAAATATGGTCATAACTTCTCCCATTTTGGAAATATATTTTTACTCTTGAAAAAGAGGGATTTGTGTCTAATCACCCCCAAAATCAATGACAAATTAAAGTTGTTATTTTCTCTTCCAATTTGATTACACATGGTGTTTGATAGAGCTGACGATAAGCTTTGTTTTCTTAAATATTTATCCAAACTTGCTTTAGTGGATACATGCTTTATTACTTTAAATATTTAAAAATTTGAACTTCAAATTCAAACTACCTCAAATTAAGACTGAAAATTATATAACATTTTGAAAACACAGACAGGAAGCTTCTGAAAATATAAAATATTTATATGTGCTCCCCTAGTACAGAAATAAGTACAATAAATAAAATATTTGTTTTGTTTTATTCTCAAATGTGATAAATACACAAAAGTTGCATTACTTATTATAGCAAAGCGCAGCAGAACTATCTGCAGAAGGGAACACGCTTTCAATGAGAACTCTCTAAAAGAACATGGCTTTGTATTGATAAATATTAGAACGGGGAAAAACCACAGAAACACCCATGCAGCCAGCTCAATTGCCAGGTTACCCAGAAACTAAGATTGAGCTACCAGTGATTCATGATCTTGATTACTGCAGTTGTTAGCAAACAAATTTATTGACTAATATCACATTAAAAAATATATTTTTACATTAAAACTGATCATTTCCTAGAAATTACAGAGCAACTGCAAAATGAATGTTAGTCATTTTGTTGATAACAGTCCATACTGAGTAAAACAAGGTCTTAAAATATTAATTATTAAAAACTTCTCATTTTAAATATAAAAATGGAACTTTCTGCGTTTAACTTTGTAAAATACAATGAATATTTTGCTAATTTGACTTTATATTGAATAGCATCTGAAAAGTAAAGATTTTGTATATATAGTACCCTTCAGTGTTGAAACAGTTCTCAAAAATTCCCAATGTCTTATTTTAGTAACTTATTCGAAATACGTGGTCATGAATCAATATTAAGCCAGTAGCCATCATTCAAGATAGCTTATATAGAAGTGTAAAAGCTAATTTAATTAAATGATCTAAAATTACATATTGAGGCAAAAAATGAATTGAAAATGAAATTTTAAAGGCTTTAAAAATAAAGGAAAAGTAATATATATGAATATATGTATTTATTTATTTTTAAGAAACTGAGCATACGAAAACAAATTTTATTGTCTAAAAACAACATGAAAAATTTAATTTAAAATTGGTTCTAGGAAATTATTTTACAAAAAACTAAATATATGAATATAAAAGCTGAAACTAACCTCTAATCAGAGGGTTATGTGGAGGCATATCTAGACGTGGAACATATTTGATCAGTTGATCCCTCAGACAAGACGAAATGGTTAGCTTTTCCATACACGATTTCAGCCAACATGCTTTACATCTCGCACTAGAAATTCTACGAGCTACAGTTTCTTTTGAACCATCTATATTACAGTTTCCTTAAAGAAAGAGGGGAAAATATTATATGCAGATCAAGACTTTGAATATTCCAAAACTTTACACTTCTGAATTTGGAAGCTGTAAAAATTCAGAATACTAAACAAGATTAATGTTTTTAGAGAAATGCAGTATGAACAGCAAGTTCATATTACGTAAGAGTGAATTAAAAATAAGCATAGAATAGTGTAAAATTCATGTACATACATCAAAATAAAAGCATAACAATAATGAAACATGTTTACAAAATTTGATAGTACACTAAATATGAAATACATCATCCTGTGGCTTTACCATTCCACATGATTGCCACTGATTTCACCCATTTTGTGTGCTCTAATTTCATGTGATCTTCATGAAACTGAGCTTCAACGATGTTGAAATTAAAAAAATTATTGACATACTACCTCTTGTTTTCACCCTATACCAGCGATTCTCAGCCGGTGGTACGCAAGAGAAAAATAGGTGGTATGCAAAAAAAGAAAGTATTTCTAACTGTTAAATTCAAAAATTGAGAAACCCCACATCCTATTTAAGTTTTTTATCTAACAATCATAAATTTATGCGATCTGAGCTTTGTTCAAGGTCAATAGCCACTCACAGAGCAAAATAATCTGTTTCTGATTTCACAAATATGCTCTTAGCCATACACATAACAAAATTTGTCATAAATGATGATTTTAAAAGGAGTAATAGAATGGATATTGTATTTAATAAGAAATAAAAGTAAGTTCTCAAAAAAAGATAACAGTAAAGATAACATTAATTCTTTTAGAGTAGATTGATTTATTAACATGTCTACACTTCATGTCCCTGCCATTTCTGGGCTCCTATTATTTGTATTCCTTACTTTTCTGCACGATTTGAGAATATTGTCATTGGTTTTTTAAGAACTTTTAATATATTGTGCATTTAAATAATTGTGAAAAAATAATAAAACAAATCTGGATTTTCAGAATCGAAAAATGGCTAGGATTGACTAAAGTGATGATTCATAAGTGATGGATCCAGGAAATTTACTAGCACTAAGAATATTGAAAAGAAAAATTGTTCATAGAAAATATAATGGAAGTTATTTATTATTTGGGTTTATTTGAAATGAAGATTAAATGGACCTTCAACCTCAATGTGTTTGCTGTGAACTATCATCCAATCAAGTTACGAAACCATCATTTTTTAAACAACATCTTCAATCTAAGCATGCCAGTTTAAAGGATAAATCTGAAGAATATTTTAAAAGGAAATTATCAGAGTTCAAAAATAGTAAACAAGCACTGAAGAGTTTTGTTACTTCAAGTAAAAAAGCTTTGGAAGCTAGTTACCTAGTAAGCCTAAGAACTGCCAAGACAACAGGTTTGCACTACTGGAGGAAACCTTATATGACCAGCAGCTAAAGATATTGCTTTAACATTATTCAACAAAAAAAAGGCTAATGAACTTAATAATACTCCATTATCAAATCATACATAAGTCGACTAATTCATAAAATGGCAAATTCCATAAAAGAGACACTTATTCAAAAAAATAAAACACAGCGAGTATTTCGCATTGCAGTGGGATGAAAGTACTCATATAACGAACTTCATTCAATTATTAGTTTATATACATTTCGAAGATAAATGAACTGTCGAAGAGTATTTGATTTTGTTAATATCTTCATGATAGAACAACTGCAAGCAAAATTTTTAAATTGACAGTTTCATGCCTGAGAATGATATTCTTTAGAATAAGTGCATTGCTGTATACAGTTAAAGAGCCCAAGCATTAACAAAAAAACATTCTGGTGTTATTTCTCAAATAAAGAAAGTCACACCTGAAACTAAATTTGCTCATTGTTCTATTCATAGTGAAGTAGCCAAAACAATCCCTGTAAACCTAAAAATCGTTTTGAATCATGCTCTGAAATTTGTTAATTTTATTAAAAGCCAAGCTTTAAATTCAAGAATATTTATGATTTATGCCAAGAGATGGGCAGTGAACATGAAACACTTTTGTTCCATTTCAAAGTAAGGTGGGTTACACAGAGGCAAAGTTTTAAACTGTCTTTTTGAACTTCAATCACAAATTCAATGTTTCTCTGCGGTTCAAAATTTGAATTGCAAAAATGTTTATTTAGTGAATTATGGTATGCATGTATAGCTTATTTAGCTGATATCTTTGGAAAGTTAAATTAATTAAATTTAGGATTACAAGGACAAGTGTTAATTTGTTTAATATTAGAGATAAATGCAATAATAAAAAAATCTGACCTAAAAACCAAAGAATTGGATAATAATATTTTAAGCTTTTTACCACTTTCAGAAAGTTTTCTTACATTGACTAAGATAATGAAATAAAAATGCTCAACAAAACTAAAATATGACAATTAGAAACTTAAAACAGCATGCAGAACAATTGCTTCTTTCAGATGTTACGAAAACAAATTGCCTAAAGAAATTGCATACACATTGAACGTAGAAATAAAAATGATGACTATAATTTTTTCAAAGTACATAATCCAAGAACTTCTATAGCAGAACCTTAAAACTAGTCCCACAACTAACCATTTTCACCACTACTTTACTCACAGATATAAAAAGCACAAAATTTTTCCTATAGGGCATAAAACACATACACACTAATTCATTAAAGATTTAAAAAAGTTAGATGTCCAATGATATCAAGCCTAACATTTCACCATGTCCTTTCAGCCTATAAAACGGGTAAAAGGAACATAAGCATACTACATAATCATATAGTCAATCTACAAGTATCAGTCGTTTCAGAACCCATTCTAATCATTAAAGAGCTGTTCCCACTGGGGTTTAACTGAGCTAATGGAGTCAGTTCCATGAGTCGACTAGCTTCGCTATGCCTGCAGTTAAGATTTTTCAACTCACTGTCCTATGGGGAAAAAAACAGGTTTTGGAGATGGGTCAGCTACATTAGTTATTGTCGTTAACTCAGATAAACCCCAGTGGGAACGGCTCTTAAGAGTTAATACAAAATTATCATAAATTACATAAATGCAACAGCACAGCCACTCATACACATAAAAACCAAACAAAAAGGATTTAACTGTGCAAAACTTTCATAACATCATTTCTATTAATTATTCACCCCCAAATAATATTACATTTAAGCACTATTTGAATGAAATGAAAAATTATATCACACAAAATAAAATATTTACCATCTTTAGTACAAAAATACTGTTTAGGCATCTTAGCAAAGCTTTCAAAAAATCTGTTGCAAGGTTCACACACTATCTGGTCATAAAGTTTTTCAGCATTAGAATGAAGCTTTGCGAAACCACATACAGCACAACCAACAGAAGAGGCACAGTCGCTGCCACTTGAAGCACCTAGCAAAAACATTCAAATCACAAATAAAATATAAACATCTCTTAACAAGAAATAGTTGTTTGAATTTAAATTATGCGCAAATTTTACCATATTACACACAAATTGATTAAGACTCATACTCATTTGTTTCAATTACCAAACTGGTAAGCCTTTGAACAACTTTTAATTTTCAACCCCAAATATTATTCCAGTGAGTAAGGACACAAGCTTAGACTAAAAAAATGGATCATATTAACTTATGTGAGTCACCACCCTGAATGATGTGTGGCACTATTTTCCCACAAAAAATAATCAAAAGTTGCTAGAGAGGTTTTCCAGTCTGATAAAAAATTTACCCTATCTTCAGAAAATTATATATTAGAAAATCTTAAAATGCTACATTTAAGCAACAAGCATAGTGCTAAAATCTTTTAACTTAATTACACTGAAAAATTATAGAACATTACTCAAACTAAACACATTACTCTTGCTTTAAAAATTTAAAAAAAAAAAAAAAAAAAAAAACTACAGAGACTGATTTACACACTTAGAAATATTATATTATTGTATAGTGATGACTAGAAACATACAGAACTATGCAAAACTTTAAAAAGTAAGCAAAAATCTTACACAATGCACTTTTGGAAGGCACATCTATTTGATCCACAGAAGGAAGGCTGGGTAAAATACTCGGTCCTTTCTCTGAAAAGGTTTGAATATTCTCATTTTTGCTCTCTAAATGTACACCATCAACCACAGGAGCGTTTTCTGACTGCCTTGTCCGCAGATTTAAACTTCTCTTTTTTAACTGCAAACGAGCTTTACGAAGGATATTTTTAGTTCTTCTTTGGCTACTTGAACGTTGTTGTTGCTCATTTTTCCACTGTGCTACAGCAGATTCAAAATTGGATGACATTTTGACTTTCATTTCAGAAGGATCTTTCAGACGTCCTTCCCACTGAGATTTGAGCAATTTTTCTATTTTTGCTGCAACTTTTTCTAACTTATCTTCAGGTTTCTTCCCATCCTCTAAAACATCTGAACTGTCATTTTCTGCCTTATCAGGTTCATTTTTAACATTATGTAACACATTTCTCTTAACACTTTCTACAACTTTGGGTGGCTTTTCTTTAGCTTTCTGAGCCATCTTTTCAGCATACTTACTTACCATATCTGGCTTAATTATATCCTTAAAAGATCCAGATGACGTTCCAGTCCCCGAACTGCCATCAATGTTCTTCTTCAATCCAAAAGGATATTCATAATTCATCTCAGACAGTTTCATTTGCACTTTGAGACTAGGCTTCCAAGGTCGTTTTCCTTCAACCACAAGAGGTCTGTCTAAAAGACCTACTTTTTTCTTCAAACTTCTTGAATGTCTGTTATCTTCCATTTGAGTATTATCTGGGCTACTACCACCATCCATTGCAGAAATGGTTTCAGAACTCCCACTTAATGAAGATCTAGAAAACTGACTTTCATCATCTAAAACATTTGTATTAGGTTGATCACATTCATCCATATATCGTCTACGAGGAATAATTTTTCTAGATGAACGAGCACTCATAGGAGGCAAAATGAAACGTTTACGTCCTACATATAAAGAGCGTTTTGATTTTGGAGTAAGAGGCCTTTTTACAGTTTTGACTGAATGAGCAACATTAGTATTTTCAATACCTACACAAGTTGTTCCATCTCTCAAATTTACAGTCGGTTTCTTTTTTGAATATGATTTATGCCTTAAGCTGTTTTTGCCCCTCTCATTTCCAGAGTCTAATGCTAATTTTGTTTGAACTTTTGAATATTTTCTTGTTGATGAATACATAAAACATTTCCGAAATTTCTTTTTTACATTAGGGCGTAAGCTTCGCCTACGCCTCCGTCGACTTTTCACTTGATGTTTAGCCTTTTCAAGTAAATGTCTAACAATAGCTCGTTTTCTCTGATAATTTTGATTCACAAGAATGTACAGGTTCATTCTTACTATTATTATTAGCAATATTGTTTTCAGGTTGATTACTTACAGCAACTGATTCTAACGAATTTGATATAGGTTCAGTAGGACAGATAACTTGAGAATCTTCTTTAATATTTAATTTAGCTTTCTTACACTTTTTCTCACTATACACATTGTCACTATTTACATTTGATTTACAAAGCCCATCTTTCAACATTTTGTCATAAGATCTACGAATAATGTCTCTCATTCCTCTTCTTTGGCGAACTGATGAAGAAGTAGAGGTATCAGAATCTGAAGAAAATATCTTCTCAATTTCTGATGCAGCTGAAGAAGATAAATCTTGGCTAGATTCTAAATACCGATGAATAGCTTGTTTTTGTTTTAATTTAACAGCAACAAGAGCTTCAGCCTGTGCAAGATCTTCCAGAGTAAAGCCTTCAAAATCCTCCTCCTAAAAAAAATTTAATAATTTAGAAAAATTAAAAGGGCACTCTCTTATAAATAAAAAATATTAAAATAAGAATATTAGTTTCCTACAAACTACATATTAGACAATTTTCAAATAATCCTGTCTAAATATTATAATTTGTTCATCCTAACACTATTTTAATATCCAATGCAATCTTCAACAAAAGACTGCAGATTTAACTTAATTGAAAAAAGCATTAAATCTAGTACAGAATACCATGAAGTTAGTTTGTAATTTATTCCCAGACAGACCAATGATGTCAAATGCTCCAGATATGTACTAAGGTAGAGAAAGTTATGCTGGACAATTTTGGTTGATCTTTGGATTATGGTAACTTGGTGATTTTTTGGTGAAAATTTGGCGACCAACTCTGCTACAGCAACCCTCTATTTTTTTTCGCCGCCATTTTGTCTTCACGAAGTAAAGACATGTTTCTTTTCTTTTTATTTACTGAACACTTTTTTCAACAATGTACTTAGCCGAATTACACTTATGCTAGAAATTTTATTGCAACAAAACTGCTTAATCATGACAAATATTAACTGCAAAATTGGGAAAAAGTGCACAATCGCAAATTCCTTGCGCGTTTTTCAGAATAGCACATACACATAAACCATTTACACGTCGACTTATTTTTACTTAAAAACATCCCAGAATTGCACAAAAATGGCATTGCACACACTCTTAACTTTATCCATCTACACTGCTATTTTCTCATAAATTACAAAAATTTGCAAGAAAATGCAAAAAAATTCTGTGAATCTTTAAACTCGGTAAAAAGCACAGCTGATCTTTGGAATATGGTAACAGGTAGTTTGGCGACATTTTGGAGGCGATAAAGGTTACTACTTAGGACTTTGGGAATAATGTGAGAAGTACTCAGTTCCGATTACGCATTATTTTGTGTGAGGGAAATGAGAGATCATGAGATATGTCATGTGACATTAATGGACGAATCACTGTTCTTTAATCGGAAAAGGGGGTAAATTTGTAAAAAATATCTGCTGTACAGCATTAGTTTCATTCTATGTTCTGTGAAACAGTGTGAAATATTTGGATCCCATGGCCCTATATAAAGTAAATCCGAAATTTTATTGCGTTTATGTGTAATTGAAAGAATTGCTTAATTGCGGATAAGTATGAATTTTTTAACATGTGCGAATGAAATGAGATAAAAGAGAGATTGTGTGAAAGGAATGGATATTACAGATAAGTTTGAATGGCGGTGTAAGAAATTCTAGTGAAAATGGACATTTTGTGATCCACCATGCACTCAAGATTCTGTAGAAGATTTAGGTAAGTTAGTATTTTTAATTAATTTGAGGATATTATTTTTATGCATTGTTCTAAATGTAAGGAGTAAATAAATTAATATGCTATTATTGGAAAATGTTTATTAGCAATGAATTAGTTTAAAGTAATTAGTATTAGTATTTTAAGTTAATTAGTTATTATTAGTATCTAATTTTTATTAGTTTAATGTATGTGCTTATTTATATTTTAAGTAGTGTTTTCTAATTTAATTATATTTTAATTTAATGATCTTGATTTTGAGAGTTACATGTTTGTAGTATTTTGGAATACGTTTGAGTAGAAGTAAATGTGCATGGAAAGAATTTAAGTATTTGACACTAAGTATTTGGAACCATTTTTAATGTTTGCGTTAAAAATTTGTAGGTGAGGTTTATAATAGATAATTTAGAGCAGGGGTCTCCAAACTACGGCCCGTGGGCCACATCCGGCCCGCGGACAGATTTTGTCCGGCCCGCGGAGAGCTAGCATACTTGAAAACTCCTTTTAGAGAACATATTTTTTATAGCAAATTAAATTTAGTTTACTGAAGTATTCTAATTTTATGTTGAATAATTATTAATATGACATCTACATGATATGGTCATGGGCTACTACTCATAACATTGTTGTAGGCTTATTGTTATTGTTTTTGTGATAAGTTGGATAAAGAAACACAGAATTGTAATGAGTAAAGACATGTATAATGCAGAAAATTTTAACTTCAGTACATAATAACTAACAAATTATTGAAATGAATCCAACTAACATTTTATACATTTATATAAAAACATAACTTATAACAAGCATAATGACATATGAAATACTAATGAGATTTATGTAACTGAGATTTCCACTGACAATAGTTTGTAGCTGTGGACTAATTTTACTTGTACCAATTATTAAAATAGATTTAAGATGCTCATCAGTTAATTTAGATCTGTAAATTTTTTGTGTACTTCATTTTGGAGAAGGTCTTCTCACACAAATAAGTAGTACCAAAAACAGAAAACAGCCCACGAGCAAATTTATGCAAATTATCAAATTGTGTCAGTGGAAGACTCTTATAAAATTCCAACAAAGATGAGTTTTGATATTTGTTCTTAATTATATCAATGCACTGTAGATCAATCATTTCCATTTGAAGTTCCGGGGCTAGGGTTTCAATGTCAGTATCAAAAGGATTCTGAAAAATCTTAATTTGATTCGCAATGGCATCAAAGTCCGAAAAACGAGTATCAAAATTTATTTTCAAAGCACTCAAAGTTTCGATTGCAAAATCAATAGGAAACTCAGTCTCAGTGGTGTAGCTGAATATTTCACATGTTCTAAAATGTGAAAAACATTTACTTCGTAGTTGTGATTGAAACAGTATCAATTTCTTCTGGAATGATTTGATATTAGTGTATAAATCAGGAAGATGCTGGTTTTCTCCTTACAATCTCAAATTCAGTTCGTTCACATGTTTTGTCAAATCAACATAGAATGCTAACTTCCACATGCGTTGTTTTGTAATTCAGTAAGAGGGCGATGCTTTTCATTCAAAAAAATTTCGATCACTGCTCGAAATTAAAAAAAGCGCTGAAGAACTTTCCACAACTAAGCCAACGGTACGGCAGTAGATAAGGTAAGTAATTTTCTCCAATCTCTTCAATAAATTGTCGGAATTGTCGGTGATTCAGCCCAAAAGATCTATTAAATTAACATTTGATATGACTGGTTTCAGAACTTCAGACATATCCAAACATTTTCCGCACAGGACTGTTGATGAATGATACAATGAAGACTAATGGTTTTGAACCACCATCATTTTCTACAGCCTTTGACACAGAGCGACCACTCCTTTATCTTTCCCCTCATTTTTTGCCTCCATCAGTTGTAATACATTTCAAGTTTTTTCCATCGAAGGTTCTTTTGATTAATGGCCATTTCAACTCCTTTAAAAATATCTGTACCAGTAGTTGTGCCATGAATACTATACATATCAAGAAGTTCTTCATGCACTTCATAGCTTTTATCTACTCCTCGAATATAAATCAACACCTGAGCAGTATCTGACACATCCGTTGACTCATCCAAGGCCAAAGAAAACCACTCAACATGTCCATTTTTGTCGAACAGTTGAGAGGATATATTTTCAGCAATGTTTTCTACCCTTCGAGCCACAGTGTTTGCTGACATACTGACAGTTTTTTAATAAATTTACCTTTTCAGGGCATATTTCTTCGGCTACTGCAATTATGCATCTTTGATCATTTCTCCATCGGTGAATGGTTTTCCACGTTTTGCAATTTCAAGAGCCACACGAAAGCTGGCACAAGTTGCAGCCTCTTGTTCAGTTTTTGAGTTTTGTAAATGAAGATTGCTGCGATTCAATCCGCGTTTCATAGCTTCGAATTTTTCTGTCCGCAAACTCCCTGTATATTTTGAGTAATTTCGAAAATGTTTTGTTTCATAATGACGTTCTTTGAGAACGGCTATGCTTTCATTGCAAATCAAACATAGCGCCTTGTTACTGGACTCAATTACGAAATACTGAATGTTCCACTGATCTTTGAATTTTCTGCATTCACTATCAATTTTTCGCTTCTTTTCCATACTACTAAATCACACACAAAAGCAACAATTCAAATCAAAATACTGTTACAAAGATGTCTTAAACTTAAACACGTTTTAAGGAGGTATGCACTATTTTATTCCACAACAGTGTCATAGGAACTGACTTCTGTACGTGCTATTAGCGCCATCTGTTAGTGATGGAAGGTACTACCTATTTTCCGCTTGTGTCCACCAGATGTCGTGTCACGTTACTCCTCATGGCTCGTACTCTACGACTAATCTAGAAATTACAGATAATGACAGGAAAATTAATAATATGCAGTGCTGCTGTTTTGCGGACTTTAGTCCGATTTGCAGCCTTTTTTAAACGTTGCGTACTTTTTCGGACTTTTTTATTCATCAGTGGACTATTTCACTTTTTACCACCGGCAACAATGATAATATGGTTTTGGCCCTCGGAACTTACTGGAGTAATCAGTATGGCCCTAAGGCTGGAAAGTTTGGAGACCCCTGATTTAGAGGAAAAAGTTTTTGGATATTTTATTTATTTTATACGTGCAAATGTTCATCCTTGGAAAGGGTATATACTTTTTCGCGATCAGGTAATTTCATATATGTCCTTTTTACCGAATTTAAAGATTCACAAAATTTTCATGCATTTTCGTGAAATTTTTCTAATTTATTAGAAAAAAGCAGTGAACATGGATATAGTGAAGAGTGTGCGCAATGCCATTTTTGTGCAATTCTGGGATGTTTTTTTAAGTAAAAATAAGTCGACGTGTACATGGTTTAATTATATTTTAATTAAATGATAGTTATTTTGTGAATTATATGTTTTAGCAATTTGGTATACATTTGAGTGGAAGTAAACGTGCATGGAAATAATTTAAATATTTGACACTAAGTATTTGTAACCATTTTTAATGCTTTGTTATGAATTCGCTGGTGACATTTATAATAGAAAATTTAGAGATAAAAGTTTTTGGATATTTTATTTATATTATACGTGGAAATGTTCATGCTTGGATAGGGTATATAATTTTTCGCGATCAGGTAATTTCATATATGTGCTTTTTATCGAGTTAAAAGATTCACAAAATTTTCCTGCATTTTCGTGCAAATTTTCGTAATTT